TTGATGGGATTGAATTGGAATCCCCTGGTATGTTTTTAACTCTACCATTTGGGGCAAGTCAGCTTGAGCATGTCCCAAATTATACATCTCTTCCAGTTATTCTTAAGTGTTGAAACTTAACTGAAAAGTGATCCCTGTTAAATATAAGAGTGGGAATAAGAGAGGGAGGAGATGCACAATTTGGGACATGCTCAAGCTGACTTGCCACAAACGGTAGAGTTAGAAACATACCAGGGGATTCCAATTCAATCCCATCAAGGTGGCATGTACCAATGCCATCTCACTAGTCCCAGTGATCAATTTCTGTTCACAATTGATCATAATGAAAGGATTAAGCATCAAAGGGATCACATAAACTAGACTAGTGTCTGCAAATATTAACAGATAGAAAAAAAAGGGAGAGAATGATCCAACATGGGAAGTGGGATATATAGCAGACTCATAAAATGGCAGATGTCCTAAACAGCACTCTGGCCTCAAAATCAGCCCTTAAGGCATTTGGATCTGGCTGAAAAGCCCATGAGAGTATTTCAGGCATGGAAAGCATGTCCAAAAACAAAAATGACCTAAATGAAAGATCTCTGTGAGTGAGATCCCAGTGGAAAGAACAGGTCATCAAAGAAGGAGGTACCTTTTTTCTGTAGGGAGGAGAGAATTTCCACTTTGACTACTTCCTTGTCTAAATATGATCAGAGTCGGTGAACTCAAAAGGCTTCCATAGCCTTGGCAACTCATGACTGGAGCCCAGGGAGATTACTGATGCCATAAAAAAGAGTGCCAATTTGTTAAGTCAACAACAGGAGTCACTGTGCACTTACTCCTCATGTAGGATCTCTGTCCTTAATGAGCTGTACATTGTGGTTTAATGGTATAACTAATATTCAAACAGTATTTTTCACTGTTTCTGTTTGGAAGCAAACTGTTGAAATCTTTACTTAATATATGCTAAACTTATCTTCTGTATATAAAGAGAATTGAAAATGAATCTTTATGTGAATGGAAGGGGAGAGGGAACAGGAAAGGGGAGGGTTGCAGGTGGGAGGGAAGATATGGGGGTGGGAAAGCCATTGTAATCCATAAGCTGTACTTTAGAAATTTTTATTCATTAAATAAAAGTTAAGAATATAATTCTGCATTCCTTTTCCAATGTTTCTTTTTTTAAAAAAGATTATTTGAAAAGACAGAGTTACAGAGAGGGAGGGAGTGAAAGAGAGGGAGAGGGAGAGGGAGAGGGAGAGGGAGAGGGAGAGAGAATATCTTCCATATGCTTGTTCATTCTCCAAATGGCCAAAATGGCCAGTGCTGGGCCAGCCTGAGCCAGAAGCCAGGAGCTTCCTCCAGGTTTCCCACATGGTGACTGGGGCTCAATCACTTAGGCCATATTCTACTGCTTTTCCAGGTGCATTAGCAGAGAGCTAGATAACAAGTGGAGCAGCCAGAACTTGAACAGGTGCCCCTATGGGATGCTGGTGCTGCAGGCTTTGACTTGACCTGCTATGCCACAGCACTGGCCCCTACAATGTTTCTTAGTCTGAATGTTTTCATGTCTATTTACTGTATCACAAGGTTAAATGAAGATATGTTTATATATATGGGATCCTTCAAAAATGTGAGGGAAACAAACTTTGAAATTTGTTTTCATCCTGCCTTTCCACAAACTTCTAGAAGTATCCCCAGCCTTTCTTACTGCTGCACTAAGCATAACATATCAAATAAATGTGTAATTATCAATAACTTGGTAATATATATTCAATCCTAGAAACAATTGAGAAAAAGCCAGGTAAATGATTAAAATGACCATAAACTTTAACAATTAAATGCCAGCTGAAACAAGGGCTTAGGAAATGAATATAGGAAGTTGTCTTTAGAGACTCTTGCTAACTGAGAAAATGCAGATAGTCTCAGATTCTTGGCATAGAAAATGGAATTCTCCATGCTTTTCATATTGCTGCAATGGACTCAAAGAATCACATTGGGATTTGTGAACATGGAGGACAGAAGTCTGAATTTTATGTAAAGATCCTGCATCTTGGAATTCAGCAGCAAGAAGCAGAGGTGAGCAGTCCTTGGAGAACATTCCAGGTGCACTTTTCTATTTCTCTCCTATTTGCATCAGCAAGTCATCAGAGACTGGGCTACATGGGCCTACAGGTTAATTAGGAGCTCTGTGCATTGAGCCCCCGAGGTCCTCCAGCACAAATGATGAGCAGAGCCTCCAGACCGTGACATTGCACTGGAAATATAATGGCCACTCCTCCCCATGTGAGTGTCTGCATCACGAAGCCCCAGACTGAGTCTGTCTCCTTCCCTGTCCTGAGTCCAAAGCCTGAGGTTTCCTTGAACTCCAGGCAGAAGAGCAGCAGTGGAGCCATCACCCTTGGTCATGACTCTGCTCAGACTCAGCACAGCCCAGTAAGTGCTGAGGGAGACAGTGGAAGTTGATGGGGCTGTCAGGAACACTGCTGCTTCATTATCAGGACAAGCAGGACAGCTGGGCTAGACAGCTGGGAGGGAAACCATAGACAGTTTCAGCTCAGAGGCCTGTGCTAGTTTATGTTCTTGGATCTCATCAGGGTCTGAGATTTCTCATTTTGAATTTTCCCTCCCACAGTGATTCTCAGAACCACTGGCAGTCTCTTCATGACAGCAGCCTGTGCATACCTAAAACTGTCCCCTGAGCACTCAGCAATGTCATGAAGGTGATGGTGAGGAGGAGTGGGAGGATGCCGTGACCCTAACATCACACAGCTTTATTGAGGGCTTCCTAAGTGCCAGGCTCTGAACCCTAGGTTCTAAGTAGCTTGTTTCATTTCATCAACATAAAATCATGTTCCATTGCCCACATTATTTTTATCTTACAGAAGAGGTGAGGAGCCCTGAGTTTTTGTGTGACTTGTGTGAAGCTGTGGGGTAGAAATGGGTAAAATCATGTTGGAGACAAGTCGGTAGTCTGACTGTAGACACGAAGAGCATGTCTAGTATTCCCCTCTGACATAGCAGCCATCTCTTTCTCTTTCCTGTCACACCAGGATAGGACCCCAGTTCATTGTGATCTCTCTTTGGGGTTTCTTGGGCAGCAGTAGGTAAAGTATGGTTGAGTTCAAAGGGAAAGATCACAGAAAGACTACAGGATCATTTTGGGGATTCCCTCTCTCTCTCTTGATCCCATTTCAAGTTTTCACCTCAGCCATCCAGTTTGTCCCCAACTCTTGCAATCACTTCTTCTGAGAAAGAGGCATACAGTTTGGGTCTTGGGTTCCAAGACCAAGGAATGAATTAGCATTGCCTTTAGGCAGCTGAAGTTAGAGAACTGTAATCCAACTATCAGGAAGGGGTGTCATGACAATCTTTGAATTCTACATACGATGATGGGAACTCAAAGCTGGTGCTGGGTCTTCCCTAATCTCCTCACTTCAACTACAGGCAAGGCTTATGATCAGAAAAACCATAAAGCAGAATGACCAGGCCATGAAAGGAAACAGAACAAAAGCTTTAAACTTGTTTAAAGCAAAAATCTCTTATATAGCAGTTTTTTTTTCTAAAAACACCTGAGGTTATAAGGGGTGTATATTAAAAAAATTAGAAAAATTCAGGTGGCCCTTAAAGTTCATTATTCTATATCATTGTCAGGTGCCTAGTGTAGTAGTGTTACATTTTAGTCACTGATATTACATAAATATGTGTACACAGATAAACTATTTTTATCAAGATTTGAAGTCCACAAAACAAATGAAAGGAGTTACATATTAAAGCATGCTAAAAGACAAATGGGAGTGGATATATAGCATTGTGGTTAAGATGCCCGCCTCCCACACTGGCACGCCTGGGTTGGATTCCAGGATCTGGCCCCTCACTCCAGCTTCCTGCTACTGCAGATGATAGGAAGTAGTGGTGATCATCAAATATTGGGGTTCCTGCCACACATGTGGAAGACCTGGATTGAATTCCATCTCCCAAAGCTTCTGCATGGGAAAACTCACAGTTCACTGGGGCAGTGAACCAGTGGAGGGAAACTCTCAAATCTCTATCCATCTGTGTCTCTGCCTCTCAAAACAAGCAGATGCATGATACTTGAGTGACTACTTCCATCTACAGAGGAGGGCAGAGAAGAGCTAAGAATGATAAAACCCTAGAGGGCAACTGAACCCAGCAATATTTCCTGATTGTGAATACCCAACTTTAATTTGGTGATTATATAATGCAATTCTAGCTTTTAAGGTTATTATAGTTTGTTCAAGTAAACTATACTGTTGGTTACAAGAAAATAAGGTATATAGCACACTGTTAGCAAGAATGTTTTTCTAACAGGGAAAAGACACTTTTTATTCTTCCTTTTTAAAAACAAAGGGCGCTTCACCAAATGAAAATTTAGCAAGTAGGAAAGCAAAAAACCCTAGTTTAACAGCAATATAGGCAAGTGCTATAAATAGTAATTGAATGGAAAGATGACCATTTCACCCATAGATAGTAAGTGTTAAAGTAATCACTGATCATTAAAAGTATAGTAGTATAACATAATGTCGATTACAAATATATTATCTCAAAAAGGAAAGAAAATTAGCGAGGGAGGGAATGAAGAGTGAATATTATTATATTGTATCTATGAACTAAATTAAATCTGCTAAAAACTAAAAAAACTAAAAATGAATTCAAAGAACAGGTTACAATTGACTGTGATCATGGACTGAGTCCTTCTCATGATTATGGTCTTTTAAAATTTTTCATTTGAGTGTCTCTAAAGTAGATGTGCATGGAAGGAGGTGAGTAACATGGAAACCAATCATGAAACACCCTAAGAAGCCTGAATGTGTCATGGCTAGGAAGACTGGAAGTTATATGCTCACCAGTGTGAATAAGATGGGGGAAACACATCATAAAAAATTATGAATTTCAAAATTATATAGCACCAAATAACATTTTCTTTTAATTCTGTTCATTGTATCGTTACTCTTGAACTACATCTATGACTAGTTGAGTTGAAAACATATACAGAGTGCTGGATGCCTGTTTATCTGTTTCCTTTTACCAACACTATTTTCTTTTCCAGAAGGAATGCAGGTTATATTGAAACACAAAATCTTACACGTGTCTCAGAATTCCATCTCTTGGGATTCTCGGAGGATCCAGACCTACAGCTCATCATTTTCGTGCTGTTCCTGTTCATGTACCTGGTCATGGTGCTCGGGAATCTGCTCATCATCCTGGCTGTCACCTCAGACTCCCACCTCCACACCCCCATGTACTTCTTCCTCTGCAACCTATCCTTGGCTGATGTGGGTCTCACCTCCACCACGGTTCCCAAGGTGATTGTGGACATCCACACTCACAGCATAGTCATCTCCTATGTGGGCTGCCTGACACAGATGTCTTTCTCCATCACCTTTGGATGCATGGATGATTTGATTCTGACTGTGATGGCCTATGACAGGTTTGTCGCCATCTGCCACCCTCTTCATTACCAGGTCATCATGAACCCCCAACGCTGCGGTTTCTTAGTTTCAGTGTCGGTTGTGGCCAGCCTTTTGGATTCCCTGCTGCACAGTTTGATGGTCTTGCAAGTTACCTGCTTCAAGGATGTTGAAATTTCCAGTTTCTTCTGTGACCCTTCTCAGCTTCTCAACCTCACCTGCCTTGACACGATCACCCATGACATATTCATATGTTTTGTTGGTGTCGTATATGCTTTTCTCCCTATGTCAGCACTCTTCTTCTCTTATTATAAAATCGTTTCCTCCATTCTGAGGGTCCCATCACCAGGTGGGAAGTACAAAGCCTTCTCCACCTGTGGCTCTCATCTGACAGTTGTTTGCTTATTTTATGGAACAGCTATTGGGGTGTATCTTAGTTCAGCAGCCTCACTTTCTCCAAAGACGTGTGCAGTGGCCTCGATGGTGTACAGTGTGGTCACCCCCATGCTCAACCCCTTTATCTACAGCCTGAAGAACAGGGACATCAAGAGGGCCATATGGAGGCTCCTCAGCAACACAGTCTCTGTGCCGTGCATTTGGAGTACTGGTTGGAAAAGCAGCAAAGCTTAGTTCTAGAACTACACATCTCACCTCCCTCATTCCATGGTATTTAAGGCTCTTGTTCTCACCATTTTTTTTATATTTTATTTTATTTAATGAACATATATTTCTAAAGTACAGCTTATGGTTTACAATAACTCCCCCCCATAACTTCCCTCCCACCCACAACACTCCCCTCTCCCACGTCCTCTCCCCTTCCATTCACATCAAGTTTAATTTTCAATAATCTTTAAATACAGAAGATTAATTTAGCATATATTAAGTAAAGATGGTCCAGGCCCTTGGTCTCCTGTACCTGGTGGGAGCCCAGGAAGAAGCACCTGGCTCCTGGCTTTGGATTGGCGCAGCTCCATGTGTTGAAGTCAACTGGGGAGAAAACCATAGGATGGAAGACCTGTCTGTCTGTCTGTTTGTCTCTCTCTGCCTCTCCTCTTTCTCTGTGTAACTCTTTCAAACAAATAAATTAATTAAAAAAACTTGTGGAAGATACATATCATGAAACAATATAGGAATTTCAAAATCATACTGCACCAAGACAACTTTTCATTTCATTTATTCCACACACCTGAGAGTTACCTTTGTGTTATACCCATGACCAGCTGAATTGACAATATATACAAGTGCTATGTGACCGTTCATCTGCATCATTTTACCACCACTGTTTTCTCTTCCAGAAGGAGTAGGGGTTATACTGAAAAACAAAATCTCACACATGTCTCAGAATTCCATCTTAGAGGATCGAGACTTGCAGCCCCTCATTTTGGTGCTGTTCCTGTCCATGTACCAGGTCACTGAGCATGCGAACCTGCTCATCATCCTGGCCATCAGCTCAGGCTCCCACCTCCACTCCCCCATGTACTTCTTCCTCTGCAGCCTCTCCTTGGCAAACGTGGGTTTCACCTCCTCCACATTTCCTAAGATGATTGTGGATGTCCATACTCACAGCACAGTCATCTCCTATGTGGGCTGCCTGACGCACATGTCTCTCTTCATCATCTATGGTTGCATGGATTTCTTGATTCTGAATATCATGGCCTGACCAGTTTGTTGCCATCTGCCATCCTCTTCATTACCAGGTCATCATGAACCCCCAACGCTCTCTTTTGTGGCTAGTCTTTTGGATTCCCTGCTGCACAGTTTGATGGTCTTGCAAGTTACCTGCTTCAAGGATGTTGAAATTTCCAGTTTCTTCTATGACCTTTCTCAGCTTCTCAACCTCACCTGCCTTGACACCATCACCCATGACATATACGTTTATTTTACTGGCATCATGTAGGTTTTTTCCCCACTCAGGGATCCTTTACTCTTACTATGAACGTATTTGCTACATTGTGAGAGACCCATCACTATCTAGGAAGTACAAAGTCTTCTCCACCTGTGACTCTCACCTGTTGGTTGTTTCCTTGCTTTATGGAACAGGCCTTGGGGTGTACCTGATTTCAGCTTTCTCACTTTCTCCCTGGAAGTGTGCAGTGGCCTCAGTGGTGTACAGAGTGGTTACTCCCACAGTCTGAGGAGCAGGGACATTGAGAGCACTATGCAGAGGCTCCTCAATAAAACAGTCTAATTTCAGTCCCTGTGCCGTACCTTGGATGGGAGGTTGGACAAGAAAGCAAAACTAGACATCTAAGGGCTGGAGCTGTGTTGCAGCAGGTTATTGCCCTGGCCTCAAGTGCTGGCACCTCATATGGGCACTAGTTTGAGACCAAACTGCTCCACTTCCCATCCAGCTCTCTACCATTGGCTGGGAAAGCAGCAGATGATGGCCTAAGTGCTTGGGCCCCTGTACCCACATGGGAGATCCAAAAGAAGCTCCTGGTTCCTGGCTTCTGATCGGCATAGCTCTGGCTGTTGTGGCCAATGAGAAGTGAACCATAGGATAGAAGACCTCTCTCTCTCTGCCTCTCTTTCTCTGTGTAACTCTTTCAAATAAACAAATACACTTTAAAAAAACTAGACATCTAGACACAAGAATCTCACCTCTCTCATGTTTGAGACTCTCGTGGTTTTCATCATGCTCCGCATTTCCTAAAGAAAATACATTCTGATGGGAAATGACTACTTACTTGATGAGGAAACACCAGAAGCCAGTGGGAAGCCAGTTTGGGCACAGAATGGTTAACGCTGTCTGTGACATCATAGATTGTGTGGGAAGAAGGGAAACCATGGTTCCTCCTTTGGACTATATGATCATGGATACACCATGCAGCAGTATGATAGACACTGTGTAACTACACAATACAGAGAAACATCTGTCTATATGGCAGTTCTTCTGTAGGAACATTTGTCTGAGAGCAGATGGTTTATGGGTTGTGTAACATGCTGGGAAGAAGAAAAATATATATGCAATCTTGTCATGCTTCGAGAACGTCAAAAGTACTCTTTAGTCTCTAAAGTGCTCAACAACAGCACAGGCAATCACAGCCAAATAGACAAATGGGATTGCATCAAGCTGAGAAGCTTCTCCACTGCAGAAGAAACAACAAAGTGAAGAGGCAACTTATAGAATGGAAGAAAATATTTGCAAACTATGAAACTGATAAAGGATTAATATCCAGAATCTACACAGAGCTCAAGAACCTCAACAAAAAGCAATCCAGTTGAGAAATGGTCAAAGAACTTGAACATGCATTTTTTTTTCTGACAGGCAGAGTGGACAGTGAAGAGAGAGACACAGAGAGAAAGGTCTTCCTTTGCCATTGGTTCACCCTCCAATGGCCGCCGCTGCAGCCGGCGCACCGCGCTGATCCGATGGCAGGAGCCAGGATCCAGGTGTTTTTTCCTGGTCTCCCATGGGGTGCAGGGCCCAAGCACCTGGGCCATCCTCCACTGCACTCCCTGGCCATAGCAGAGAGCTGGCCTGGAAGAGGGGCAACCGGGACAGAATCCAGCGCCCTGACCGGGACTAGAACCCGGTGTGCCGGCGCCTTAAGGTGGAGGATTAGACTGTTGAGCCACGGCGCCGGCCCTGAACATGCATTTTTCAAGAGAGGAAACTCAAATGGCCAACAGACACATGAAAAATATGCTCAGGATCACTAGCATTCAGGGAAATGCAAAACCACAATGAGGCCTTACCTCAGCTCTGTTAGAATGGTACTCCTACAGAAATGAACAAACAGTAAGTGCTGGTGAGGATGTAGGGAAAAATGCACCCTAATCTCTTGGTGGGAATGTAAACTAGTACAGCCATGTGAAAGTCAGTATGGAGATACCTCAGAGAGTGGAAAACAGATATGCCTTATGACCTAGCAATCCCACTGCTGGGAATTTACTCAAATGAAATGAAATCAGCATATGTAAGAGTTATCCATACCCTTATGTTTATTGCAGCTCAATTCACAATAAGACAGTGAATCAACCAGATGTCCATCAACTGATGACTGGATAAAGAAATTATGGTAAATATCCACTATGGAGAACTATTCATATACATGATGAAATTCTGTCATTTGCAACCAAATGGATGCAACTTGAAACCACTATACTTAGTGAAATAAGCTAGTCCCAGAAAAGACAAATACATGTTTTCCCTCATCTGTGGTAATAGAGTACCAAAAATGCAATGTATAGAAAACAAATTGACATTTTGAACTTTAACAATTGTTTACAGCCCTTGTATTTACTGTTGAGGAACAGGTTTTTTTTCTTATTATTGGTTGCAATATAATGTTATGAATATAAAGTAAACTGTAGATTATTGTAAAAATTAAGAGAAGGATTAGGAGAAGGAAGAGGAAGTGTGGGAGTATGGGTAGGAGGGAGGGCAGGCTAGGAAGTATCACTATGTTCCTAAATCTGTATATATGAAATGTGTATACCTTAAGCAAAATTTAAAAAGCAATAAAAATAAAAAAGAACTTATGAGAAAGACATCAACCTGTATAATCAGTCTTTAAGATGCTGGTCCCAGGAGAAGGTGTTTTGCACAGCAGTTAAGATGCCACTTGGGATGCAGGCATCCCATAACTGAGTGCCTGGATTTGAGCCCTGGCTCTACTTCCATTGTCTGCTTCTTGCTAATGTACACCCTGAGGTGAAGCAGAGAATTGCTCAGGTATTTCTGTCTCCACTACCTACATGGGAATTCCTGGGTTTGTCTGGCTCAGCCTGGCTCTTATGGGCATTTGGGGAGTGATTCAGTCAATGGAAATTCTCTCCCTCTCTGTCCTTGTCTCATTTTGCCATTCAAATGAAACAAAGACCATCCTGAGGAGAGAGCCTCAGGCCTCATTGCCCAGTGGGCATGAAGGGGCAATGGACCCTCACTCCCCAGTCATGCCCCTCAGCAAGGGAGCCCAGTGAGAGGCCTGCATCCTTGAGCAGAGTGTGTGGGTTACAGTCACAGCCCCAGTTCCAATTCCCACCTCCTGCTAATGCACACACTGTGGGGTAGCAGGTGAGAGCTTAAGCAGTGGGGTTCCTGCAACCCATGTTTGGAACTGGGTTGAGTTTTTAGATCCAGGCTTAAGCCAGAGCCATAACCAGCTGTTGTGAGCATTTGGGGAGTGAACAATAGATGGAAATTCTATGTATCTCTTTGTCTCTGCCACTTAAATATTAATAAATATGATTTAATGCTATAACTAGTACTCAAACAGTATTTTTTACTTTATGTTTCTGTGTGGGAGCAAACTGTTGAAATCTTTATTTAATGTATGCTAAACTGATCTTCTGCATATAAAGAGAATAAAAATGAGTCTTGATGTGAATGGAAGGGGAGAGGGAGTGGGAAAGGGGAGGGCTGCAGGTGGGAGGGATGTTATGGGGGGAAGCCATTGTAATCCATAAGCTGTACTTTGGAAATTTATATTCATTAAATAAAAGTTAAAAATAAAAAAATAAATAAAAATAAATAAAATAAATACTAAAAGAATAATTAGATATTAAAAAGAATGTTGGTCCCAAGGCAGTAAAATAGTATGTGTATGTCTTCCTCTAAGACTCACATGCATTAGGAGGCCCAGGCTTGGCTGTTTTCCTGACAGCTTTGAGAAAGCCTCAGCCCTCATTGCTCACTGGGCATAAAGGTGCAGTGGACCCTCATTCCCCGTCATAGCCCTCAGCAAGGGAGTCCAGCACCATTAGTTCTCAGGGACACAGAGGATGCAGGAGGCAATGTGGGAATGTTGGAAACCTTGTCTCCTTGAGTGTAGGACCAGCAATGTGGTTGGGGTAACCAGATTGACTAGGATCAAAATGAAAAGTCTCAGCCCCAAAGTATGCGGTGTATAATCTAGGTTCTTAGAGGGACTTCCTAAACCATAAGTGAGAATTCTGATTTTCTTTAACATTTTCTCTTTATAGGGTTAGTCATCATGTTTACACAACCATTTGCTATACCTCAAGAATAACTGAAGCTCTATAAGGGAGATAATTATTATTGCTATTTGCAGAGGCGGTAACTATTGAGTGTCTTTACATTATTTTCTGGAATTCTGTTTCACATTTTTCACCATTCAAAGACAGTATAACCTAGGAAAATAATTAATAAACTAGCATTGTCTTTAGACAGCTGAAGTTAGAAAAATTCATGTACCAGAAAGTGGTGACATAAAAATCCTTGAATTATTCATAGGAAGTCTGGGACTCAGAGCTGTCTGAGGAGCTTTCCTGATATCACTTGACTTGAAGACATATGGAGTGCTGGGTGCCTGTTTATCTGTTTCCTTTTACCAATCCTATTTTCCTTTCCAAAAGGAGTCCAGGTTGTTTTGAAACACAAAATCTCACACAAGTCTCAGAATTTTATCTCATGGGCTTCTCAGAAGATCCAGCCCTGCAGTCTCTCTTCTTTGTGCTGTTCCTGTCCATGTACCTGATCACAGTGCTCGGGAACCTGCTCATTGCCCTGGCCATCAGCTCAGACTCCCACCTCCAGACCCCCATGTACTTCTTCCTCTGCAACCTGTCCTTGGCTGATGTGGGTTTCACCTCTACCACGGTTCCCAAGATGATTGTGGACATCCACACTCACAGTACAGTCATCTCCTATGTGGGCTGCCTGACACAGATGTCTCTCTTTATTATCTTTGGGTG